TTTTTTTTTTTTTTTTTTTTTTGCACAGAAATATATCTACCCCAGTAATTGGTATATTTTTAGTAACAGTTGGGTAATTGTGTCTGTGACATATAATATGACATATAATATGTCATCCCAAGTTATTACCAGTAATTGGTATATTTTTAGTAACAGTTGGGTAATTGTGCCTGTGACATATAATATGACATATAATATGTCATCCCAAGTTATTCCCAGTAATTGGTATATTTTTAGTAACATTTGGGTAATTGTGTCTATGACATATAATATATTCACCTTCGATATTTTATTTTCTCGTTTCTATTTTTTAATAATTTTTTATCCAGCTAGTAGTATATGTTCAGTAACATTGTAGGTTTTATTTTTTATACGTAATATAATTTATCTTTACAGATTTTTAATCTCCAATGGATTTTATTAGTTGATTTGCATATCTCTAAAATGTTATAATTAATTTATATAGGTATTCCCTAATGCGGCGCATTGTCTGTGCACGTATCACATCTCAAACAAATTGAAGATGCGTTATAAGATCGAAGCACAAGCAGTGAATGAGGAGTTTTATGCAGCTGCGAGGGCCTACACATTAGAGGAGTTCGATAAGCATATAGCACAGATAAATAAGTTGAATCCTCATGTGGTACCATATCTAAAAGAAATTGGATTTCACAAGTGGGCAAGGGTTCACTGTCCCAGTAATAGATATTTTTCCATGACATCTAACGCTGCGGAGTCAATAAATGCTGCCATACGATCCGTCTGTGATCTACCGATAACACCACTACTAGAGGCGCTTAGAGATATGCAACAAAGGTGGAATGTGGCAAATAGAGATGAAGCAAAGGCCACTTTTACTCCTCTTGCAAAGAAGCCACATAGGTGGTTGGAAACTAATTACCAAATGGCAGCAAGATATTCGGTGAGTTGTTATTTATAATTTAGTATTTTATTAATGAATTATAGTCGTTATATACTATAACATATACTGGCAAACTGTTAACGATTATATATTTATGCTTATGCTAATATATACAACACATACACGTACTGTAATCCCACGTGGTTTGAATGATTATATACTATATACATAATATTATGAAACAAGGCTGCACATATTATGTTTGTATTGTTGTGGGATTTTTTTTTTTATGTTTATTATTGTATAATGTTCATGTCATATACCAACAAATATAAATAAATATATACTAATATGTGTAACAGGTACAAAAAGCCAGTGACAAAGTGTATAAAGTGATGGCTAATGGTAAGGCATTTATAGTAGACATTGAATCAAACAAAGACTTGCACGTGCCACCATTTTCAAGTTGACGAGCTGCCGTGTCCGCATGCTATACGTGTGATCAAGTCACTCCACCTGGATCCGGTGCCATTCTGTTCTTATTACTACTTAACCTCTTCTATGTTGGCAACTTATGAAGAAGCTGTAATACCAATAGAAGGTAATCAAGCCTTCAAATTTGATGCACCGTCTGTCCCTAGATTGGTAAATCCCCCAGATGGAAGAGTGAGGCCGGGGAGACCACGCAAACAACGATTCAAGTCGGGATGGGAGCATAGATCAAAAAATAGATGCAACAAGTGTCATGAGAAAGGGCACAATGTGAAAACTTGTCGTAATCCAATACGATGAAACCTGTTGCACTATCATGTATGTTATGAACGGTTTTTAAGTTGATTGTTTCTTCCTATTATTATTTGTTAATTTTTTATTTTTTTTATGTTGTCGTTAATGCATATTTGTAAAATGAAAAAAAAAAAGAACATTGCATATACCGCACATATAACTGTGAGAAAATCAATTGAACATTGCATATACTACACATATACATAACATATACTACGAATAGAAAATGTATTTCAAAGAATATACCACACACGTACCAAGCGTAAAAACCACACATATGCCAAACATATACAAAACATATACCAACCAATTGCAAAAAACATATACCCTGGATCTGAAAAATATACGCAAAAAATACTGGACATATACACTCTATATAAAAATCTGTTACCAAAATATATACCAATAATGTACCAAACTTATGCCATATATATGATAAACAAGAAAAAAAAAAGTTAAGATGTTCATCATAATATACCAGAAAAAAAAAATAATGAAAATCGAGAAAATAAAAACGTTTAACGTTTCCATCAGAATGCAAACAACAAAAAATACAAAAGTTCAATGTTTTCCCAAATTCAATCACATCCATAAGAAAATAAATCATCAAATAATTAAATAAAATGTCTACGATGTTTTTCCCACATTCAAAAGACTAAACCTAACTTCATCGGAGGCACTGCCAGGGGATTCATCATCACTGTCGTATCCATTCATTTGTTTCATTCGACCATGATTATACAGCAAATATGCGTATCTCTCCCTAAACGAAGTGACATCAAACTTCACCTTGGTGATCTCGTAACCTGAAATGAAATGTTCGGCATACGACGCAACGAATACCCCACAATCACTGTTGACAATGAAAAAAAAAAAATAAACAATAAGAAAATAATAGTATTAATAATAATAATAATAATAATAATAATAATAATAATAATAATAATAATAACTGTAATTGTTATAGTTTATATTTATTGTTACAGGTTACTACCAATTTCAAATCTGGAAAATTGTTATATAATACCTGTTGTTCTGCTGTGGGAGATTGTCAACCATAACCACCTCAACAGTGACTTTGTCAGCCTCTCCAGTACTCAAAAGATTCACCAAGCGAAGGAAAATGGGGAAAATCTCGACGTAAGCCTTCACGTTCTCGATAACAAGATCATCGTAGTCTACTGTGCGAATTGAATTGTAGATATGCAGTTTCATGTCAGCAAGAGATAAACGCTCCAAAATCCAATGACCCACACCGTTTATTTCCAAATGCATTGGGAACATGACGTGATCAACCTTGGCCCAAGAAACACCGCATATAATCTTATATCCCAACATGTAGTCAATTATCATATCGTCTACATTGCATACAGACTTGTTACGAGATTGGGACACATACAATGAGTACAACGACTTAATGTGTTGGTCAAACAACACATCAGTCGTTGTATACCTGACTGGGGCAGATTTAGCATAAAATCCAATTTTCCTCAGATAGTAGAATAAGACATCCATGTGCTGAAGAAAACAAATATAAAACAAATTTCACACGTAAGCAACACATAAGTATAAACTTAAAAAATAAAATATCTATATACTATAATATAACACCAAACAAAAAGTGATCAACTGTAAGAAAAAATAAATAGATATATATAACAAGTAAAATATAAATAAGTGTTGTACACAAATGCTACTTACGCTGCAGTCAAGGAAGCATCCTATCTCGAATATGTGGTAAAACCAGTTCTTGTCAGTAACTAAAAGAACGTTAAAATGAAAAGGAGATGGCAAAGTTTTGCTCCTGACCTTGTAGTAATTCAAACAACAAAAAGTAGAGACAATTTATAAGTTATAGGTACGACATATTTACAGTAGATGATATTAATATTTTTTGTTATTTTTTATTATATTTGATGTATACTAAACTTATTATATAACTAGGAAAAAATTCAGTAGTACCCGTTTTTGACTTTGCGAGGAGCCGACTTGAGAAAACCCTCACAAATCCAGTCTCTAAATTCATTCATGTCCACTGCCCCAGAAACATTTATGTCAAACCCAACATCGAATGGGCAAGACTTCTGAAGTCTTATTTGTTTCTTGGTGGAAATTTTGGTCTCCATTGTTTTCTTAGGCTTCTTGGTTCGCCTCACTTCGTCTTTCTTCGGACTGTACACAACTAACGGGAGCTGCTGTTGTTGCTTGATTAGCTGTGTGTTCTCTCCTTTTACCGTCTTATTCTTCTCGACAGGCTGAAATATAGTGATAAAAATTGTATATAAAAAAAAATAATTATTGTTAAACAAAATTGTATTAAAGATAAAAAACAAAATTGAAGTGGTGAGACTTACATTGTTAACCTGTTCTGGGATAGTCTTCTTCGATGGTGGCGTCGGAGGTAGAACAACAGTTATTGCGTCAAACGAAGGCTGAGATCCATTCAATACATAACCGAATATGGGGTGTGGCTCATAACTGAATCCTCTCTGCATATATGTATGTAATATACACAAGCAATTGAATTAAATCGAACATATATAAACCCCACATTTGCAATACTGTACATATGTATATAACTAACATATACATTTGAATACAAAGATATGTGGTTACCGGTTCTTTGGCACTTCAGTTAATTTTTGTTGGACAGTCTTGTCAACCTCCTCAATGAACTGGGTGTTGATCAAGAGGAAATTGTCATCGTCGTCGATGGGGCTGCTGGGTGGATGGATGTGAAGATTGGGTGATATCATGGTTGAGTGGGGGGATATCATGGTTTGGTGGATGGATATCAGGAATGAGTGGCTGGATATGAGGGTTTGGTTGCTGTAAATCAGGGTTAGGGGGGTTTTGAACCGGTACAAACTATACCAAAAAAACCAATATAATTTTGAGATTTTTATTGATACAGGACAAAACAAAAAATGGATATATTTTGTGGCAAGATATGCTTACTCTGTCTGCTGCACTCTTCATGAGTGCTTCGGTCTTGGTTCTAAATGCTCTTATAGGAGATTTAACAGTGATCTGCATTTAAAAAAACAAAAAAAAAAAAAA